TTTTGTTTATTTTGCTGTGGTGGTGGTTTTGGAGACAAGGTCTCCCTCTGTTGTCCAGGCTGGAGTGCAATGGTATGATTTCAGCTTACTGCAGCCTCAACTTCCTGGGAGCAAGCAATCCTCCCACCTCAGCCTCCTGACTAGTTGGACCACAAGTGCACACCACTACGTCCAGCTATTTTTATATTTTTTGTAGAGACAGATTATGTTACTGAGGCTGGCTTCAAGTTCCTGGGCTCAGGTGATCTGTCCACCTCGGTCTCCCAAAGTGCTGGGACCTGCAGGTATGCCACTGTGCCTGGCCTTTTTTTTTTGAGACAGAGATTCACACTTGTTACCCTGGCTGGAGTACAATGGTGCGATCTCGGCTCACCGCAACCTTCACCTCCTGGGTTCAGGCAATTCTCCTGCCTCAGCCTCCAGAGTAGCTGGGATTACAGGCATGCGCCACCATGCCCAGCAAATTTTTTGTATTTTGGGTAGAGATGGGGTTTCACCATGTTGACCAGGATGGTCTCGATCTCTTGACCTCGTGATCCACCTGCATTGGCCTCCCAAAGTGCTGGGATTACAGGCGTGAGCCACTGTGCCTGGCCCCCTTTTTTTTTTTTATCAGGGTGTTGCTCTGTCTGTTATCTAGGCTGGAGAGCAGCAGCATCACAGCTCACTGCAGCCTAGAACTCCTGGGCTCAAGCCATCCTCCTGCCTCGGCCTCCTGAGTAGCTGGGACTACAGATGCTCACTACTGCACCTGGCTAAATTTTAATTTTTCTGTAGAGATGGGTTCTCTTCCTCTGTCACCCAGGCTGATCTCAAACTCCTGGCCTCTGGTGATCCTCTGGTCTGGTCTGCCAAAGTGCTAGGATTACAGGTGTGAGCCACTGCGTTAGACTAGAAAACATTTAAAGTGGGTCTCACATCAACCACCCTGAGTGACAACTATCCTCCTTTGCATTCTGTGCTCTACCATGTAGATTTCTGCTCCCAGTTATCTGTCTCCTCAGTCCTTAAAACCACATCTTCGCCAGGCGCGGTGGCTCACGCCTGTAAACCCAGCATTTTGGGAGGCCGAGGTGGGTGGATCACTAGTCAAGAGATCGAGACCATCCTGGTCAACATGGTGAAACCCCATCTCTACTAAAAATACAAAAAATTAGCTGGGCATGGTGGCGCGTGCCTGTAGTCCCATCTACTTGGCAGCCTGAGGCAGGAGAACTGACTGAACCAAAAGGCGGAGGTTGCGGTGAGCCAAGATCACGCCATTGCACTCCAGCCTGGGTAACAGAGCAAAACTCTGTCTCAAAAAAAAACACATCTTCTCCCCCAATATACAGTGAAAGTCATCAGCTGCCCTGGAAGCCAATCCCTCGGAGTTCTTCCTGCAAAACTTGCTCCCTAAGACAGCCCTTCTCATCACAGTCCCTCACCTCCCATGAGGCAGGACCCTTCATCCTTATCTACTGCACTCATCTTGCTTACCGGTGGGCTCATCACTGACTCCTTTCCCTAGCAAACTCATGAATGAGTTTCCTGAGGCTGCCGTGAGAAAGTACCACAAACTGGGAGGCTTCAACAACACACATGCACTCTCTTACGGTTCTGAAGGCCAGGATTCCAAAACCAAACTGTAGGGGAGGGTCTTTCCTGCCTCTTCCAGCTCCTGGTGGCTCCAGATGTCCCTGGCTTGTGACCACATCACTCATGTCTGCCTCCATCTCCACGTGGCCTCCTCTGTGTCTGTGTCCCTTCTTCTATCTCTTAGAAGGACACTTGTCATTAGTTTTAGGGCCCACCCAAGTAGTCCAGGATAATCTTATCTTGAGATGCTTAACTAATGACATCTGCCAAGACCCTATTTCCAAATAAGGTCTGTAAACCTAAACTAAAATTCTAGTCCTCCCAACTATGTAAATGGCCAATGGCACTCCAAGTTAACCTGGAAATGAGAGCAGGCCATACTAAGAAGGGATGGTCAGACTTGCCTCATCATACCGTCCTCCCTTTAGGAATTCAGGAAAAACTGACCACAATGAACATTAGCACAGACCTCAAGTCTGATAAGACCCATTTGCAGTCTATTGCCTCTGAAGACTGTTACCTGGAAGCTTCATCTGCATGATGAAACCTTGGTCTCTACAACCTCTCCCATAACCCATTTTCAAATCTACCTATGACCTGACACCACCCCCAGCAACTCTCTTGCTTCAAGTAGTCCCAACCTTTCAGATCAAACCAATGTACATCTTACATGTATTAACTGATGTCTCATGTCTTTCTGAAATGCGTAAAGCGAGCTATGCCCCCACCACCTTTGGCCCAAGTTGTCAGGACCTCCAGACGCTGTGTCATGAGCATGTCCTTAACCTTGGCAATATAAACGTTCTAAGTTGATCGAGACCGGTCTCAGACACTTTGGTTCACAGGTCCCATTCACAACTTCTGGGGGAATGTGAGTTTTAGGGGGGACACTGCTTAGCCCAGTCCACATTGCTGTGCACATAAGCTGCCCATACAAGGGCATCTGCTTAGTGAAAGACGAAAGGATTGAAGCTGGAGGCAGAAGACAAGAAGGTGAAGAGGCAGAAGACGTCTACGTGGACCTAAGGACCCTGTTCTCAGTGCATTACACGTTCATTGTGAATTCAAGTTCCAGGCAATTCCCACACATGAGACTGTGCTAGGTACTGGGCCCAGCAGCTGACAAAGTGCAAGCTCTGTCCTCAGGCACCTGCAGCTCCATGAGAAACATCAGCCCTAAGAAATGAGCAGTTTTTGAAAGGGCACCATATAAGCTCAGGGATAAATGGTCAGGAAGAACTTATCCAGGAATCAGTGGATCAATAACCAAGAATGAATACAGCTCCCGTCCATCCAGGGTCTAGACGAGGGGTACCTATGTACTATCATTAATTCCCTTTGCAACACAGAAATGTGCTTCAAAAATGAGAAAACCAGGCTTCAATGATTAATTAAACGTCTCAGGTCACCTCTGACTCCAACACCCACAAAAGCCCTCAAAGGAGGTACTGTGTCCTGCCTCCAATAAAAAACTGAATTAAAAATAATAAGGCAAAGAAGGAAGAGGCGAAAATAGTCCGTGAGCCAAAGCCAGAGGTGGAGATGATAGGTTACATCAGCATTCCTGGAGGACGAATCCTCCCAGTGTAGCAGCAGTGGCCGGAGAACAAGGACCAACGGGGAGGTGGATGAGAGGGCCCGGACTACGAAGGTGATATGCAGCATTTCTATTATGCTCAGGCGTATGAGGAGCCATTTGAGGGTGCCAAGTCCTGTAAGAAGGTCTCATCTCCATTGCCAGGGAGGGCCCTCTGGCTGTCTAGAGAGGATGATGGAAATGAATTGGCCCAAAGCAGGGTGCAGAGGACAGTGAAGAGAAATGGGGAAATGATCAGCGATTGATCCCCACCTGCGCTGGTTTTACAGCTCTTCATGAGGACACCAGTGACAACTAAGAGAAATGGCAAACTGATCAATGGCAGGTAACCAGATGCACTGGTTTTTGCCTCTTCGTGAGGATCTCAGTGACAGCGAAAAGAAATGACACAGTGATCAGTGATTGACAACGATGTGGGCAGGCTTTTTATCTCTTCATCAGGACGTGAGTGACAACTAAGAGAACCGGCAAAGTGATCGATGATTGGTAACCACGTGCTCGGGTGTTTTGATCTCCTCATGAGGATCTCAGCGACAACTATGAGAAATGGCGGAGGGCTCACTGATTGAAAAGCACCTGTGCTGGTTTATAGCTCTTCATGGAGACCTCAGGGAAAACGTTAGGATTAATGGTTGTTACAGACGGGTGGTAACCCATTCTGAAATGCTATGAGAAAACCCTAAGCCACAGGACCTCAGAAACTGTCTGTGTTTGAAGATGAGGATGGTAAGGAGGTGACTGAGGTCAAATGAGATCACTAAGGTGGATCCAGCAGCACTGCTGTCCTCCCAGTGAGAGACAAGGACACGGACACACACTGAGGGATGACTTTGTGAGGATACAGAGAAAGATGACATCTCCAAGCCCAGCAGAGAGGCCTCAGGAGGAGCCAGCCCCGCCCACACCTGGACCTCAGACTTCCAGCCTCCAGGACTGTGGGAGAGTCAAGGTCTGCTGTTTAACCCCCCAGTCTGTGGGACTTTGTTATGGCGGCCACAGCAGGCAAACACAGCAGGATTCAAATGAATGAGTTATCCAATTATGGGCTGAATTGTGCACCTCCAAAATTCATATATGAATGTTGTAACCTCCAGGACCTCAAATGCGACTGCATTTGGATATAGGGTCTTTAAAGAAGATATTAAGGTAAATGAGGTCACTCGGGTGGGCTCTGGTCCAATAGGATTGGTGTTCTTATAAGAAGAGGAGATTAAGCCGGGCGCGGTGGCTCACACCTGTAATCCCAGCACTTTGGGAGGCCGAGCCAGGTGGATCACCAGAGGTCAGGAGTTCAAGAACAGCCTGGACAACATGGTGAAGCCCCACCTCTACTAAAAATACAAAAATTAGCCAGGTGCGGTGGCGGATGCCTGTAATTCCAGCTATTCAGGAGGCTGAGACAGGAAAATCGCTTGAACCTGTGAGCTGGAGGTTGCAATGAGCTGACATTGTGCCACTGCCCTGCAGCCTGGGGGACAAGAGTGAAAATCCATCTTAAAAATAAAAGGAGAATAGGACACAGACACACACCAAGGGAAGACTCTGTGAGGACCAAGCCTACAAGAGAGGCTTCAGGAGGAAGCAGCCCTGTCCACACCTACCTTGATCTCAAACCCAAAATACAGCACAGACATGGCTACATTTAGAGTAAGAGTTTTATGGAAATACTGGACGCTCTGTTTCTCTCTTTGGTTTAAACATGGGTGAACACTGACCACAGTCACATAACGACAAGACAACACCAGCTGGCACAAGAGCTCTCTCCAGGAACAAGGGATCTGACACTCGGACTTTTCCTCTGGAACAAAATCGTGCGCCTCCTGAAGGTCAGCCACTTCCCACGCAGGACACTGTAAAACCCATCTAAAGTGCGAAGACAGATCAGCAGATCGCCATAGAACAGAGAAGAAACAGTGATTGACAGGCGCTTAGCTTCCACATCGCCATGCCTCAAAGAAACGATTGGAGATCAAGTCCTGGTGCGGTGCTGGAGAACAGCCAGTTATCCAATGCTGTGTTGAAGGAGGCACTTTCAGCAGCAGCACGGAAGTAGTAGAAACACAGCAAGGAAAATCACTTTTCGGAAGTAAAACACCTAACTGAAATCTACTTGAGCTCACAATAATATACTTCGGTGAGTTTGGAAATTTAAAGCTGACAATGAATTTAGTAAGTTTATCTCAGAATTACAAATTTAAAGGTTCAGATTGAACTTTTACTTTCTTAGCCAAGCATCCCTGCTCGGACTCTGGGGAAATTGGAAAGAAACTGTGTGAGACCATGACAGCCCATGTACAGGAGACCGGACCGGTGGACGTAGCGTAAAGGTGGTGTTTACTGCGATATTCTCCTAGGGTAGTGGGCCGCACGCAATGGCGGCTTCTGTGCGTGCATGAGCAGTCCGGCGGAGATGCGCATGTGCGACCACTGACGGATTAGTCAAGAGGGGCGGGGAAGGGGGCGGTTCGCAAAAAAGGGACTTTTTTTTTTTTCCAGTCTAGCGGTTAGGCCTTCACCAGGCGCCCGTGACATATGCACAGAAGTGTCGTTTAGGCAGAAATGCATTCAGGCCACCCGTCAGTGTGTGTAGTGAGGAGGGAAAGAGTATGGTGTTGGCTCTGGCGAGTGGCCACAGTCTTTGTATGCGGTTGTATGAGTTTAGTAGCGCTGTGGTCCTTGCAGGGGCCGGGCCTATGGAATTCTTGAAGGCGGAGTGTCTATAAAGCCCAGGGAAACAAGTGTTCTGTATCTTGTTTTGCCCGCTTCCCTTACGGATGTAGCAACCACTGACCGGATGCTGAGCGTGCCGAAACCGCATTTCCGGTGTGGCAGTTTTGTGACCGTAGAAGAACCTGAAACGCACAGTGGGGAGGGGAGGGAGAATGGTCGCCACCTGGTTCTCTTGACCTGCGTTAGAAAGAATGGAAAGCAGACGCCAGCGGAAGACACCTTGAAGGTTAGGGATCCAGGATTGTGCTACACCCCCTTTCTTACTCGGAGAGCCACTGGATAGCCGGCTAGCAGAAAACTGTGCGCCTTTTGTGTAGTATTGTGCCTTTGTGTTAGCGATACGGGAAGAAGTCGGCCTGTAGGAGATTAACCGGTTGATTAGCGGGACAGGTTATTTGTGGTTTACTCTCTTTTTACCGCAGAAGGACTGTTGATATAGGTCTAACTCTGTTTTCATTAAGGACAGATCCTTTACCTTTGAAGTCTGGGCGAGGAGGGGGCAGGATATGTGGTGTACGTGTTAGATCAGGCTCCTATGCCGTTGTCAGGAACCTACTGCATTTTGCACTGCAGTGCTTTGGACCCTTATGCCTGCATTTTTGCCTCCCATGACTGGGGGAGAGAATGAATAAAGGATAAAGCTTAGGTGCGGTTTGAGGGATTAACGGTCTGCCTTTGAGATAGTTTTTCACTGCGACGTATTAACGCCTGCAATTTACTGATTCTTATATGTTAAATAGACCGTAGAAACAGAGAACTAAGGAATAGAGAATTTGGCCAGTACGAGGTTTATAATGTTTTCTATGTAACTGGCAAACAGTTAACTCTTGATAAAGCGTGCTGTCTACTTCGCTAGAATTAAGTAGTAACCAGATTCAGATGGCGAATTTTTAAATATAGTATCTTAATCGATGATGCATTTAATTTGATAGTATCTTGAACTTTCAATATATATGTAAGCGTGTTATGGCAATAGAAGGTTTTTTTCAGAGAGGTGACAGAGTTGCTCTTGGCGTTGCACTTGTTTGTTGAAACCTATTTTGCCGTAGGTGATTGTTCCCCTCCCCCCACCCCCCCAACCCCACCCCCCCCGCGCTTCTGCGTAGTTCTGGTAAGTATTATGTTGCAAGCCCATAAAGCGAAATCACCTTTTTCCCCTATAGTTTTAAAATCTATCAGTATAAGGAGGCAGGAGTTAAGATTGGGTATGTCATTTTAGAAGCATTAAAGAAAAGAAGTGTCGCTTTTTAACTTTGTCACCAAAGACCTCTGAAGTTGATGTTTAAAATGGAGAAATGGGGGCCGGGCGTTGTGGCTCAGCCTGTAATCCCAGCACTTTGGGAGGCCGAGGAGGGTGGATTATGAGGTCCAAGAGATCGAGACCATCCTTGGTCAACATGGTGAGACCCCGTCTCTATGAAAAATACAAAAAAGTAGCTGGGCATGGTGGCGTGTGCCTGTAATCCCAGCTACTCGGGAGGCTGAGGCAGGAGAATTGCCTGAACCAGGAGGCGGAGGTTTGTGGCGAGCCGAGACTGTGCCATTGCACTCCAGCCTGGGTAACAAGAGTGAAACTCCACCTCAAAAAAAAAAAAAAGAGTGAAACTCGGTCTCAAAAAAAAATAATAAATAAATAAAATAAAATGGGAGAAATGAATACTACCACCTTCATACCTTCATAGAGCGGTCAAACATGAAATGACAGCTGTGTAAAGCTGCACAGTACTCAAAACATAGTGAAGTTGGTTTATTATTTTAACTTTTGATGTCTAGGAATTTATCTGCCTTAAAATAGTTGCACAGTCTTTGGGGCCAGTCGACCATAAGGAATCTTCAAATGTTCCGGTGTCCATTTATTTTTAGGTTTAGGATATCAAGAAAACCCCTGTCTTTGGGAACATTTTACTATTATGACTGTAGCTAAATCGAATGTTTAATTTACTGAGAAATGGATGGTAGATTTTTTCTAGTTTGGAAAGCTTTTACCATGGTAAATTGTTTTAAGAAAATTTGTTCGCAGTGAATGAATTTGAACTCCATTAGTATGAAAGTGCCGGTACTCAGGTGGTCCATTGCATTATCATGGTTGATAGACTTAAGCATCTTTAAAATCTTGTCGGGTAATGCCAGGCAGTCACAGCAGCCAAGTGTATGGTACAGGATAAGATTGGAATCCAGGTCTTCTTATTAGTTGCTTGTGATCTTATCTGTTCCTGTGTGTCAGCATGTGAGCTATTGATACCTCTTTTCTAGCTTGCTGATCTGGACCTGAACTCCTCTGAGAAACAGAGTGGAGGAGCAAGTACAGCAAGCAGTAAGTAAAACCTTTGTTTTTGGCAGAGCCTCGCTCTGTAGCCGAGGCTAGAGTGCAGAGATGCCATCTCGGCTCCCTGCAGCCTCCGCCTCCCTGGTTCAAGCGATTGTGCTGCCTCATCATCCCGAGTAGCTTGGATTACAGGCGCGCCACGCCTGGCTAATATTATTAGGAGAGAGACGGGGTTTCTCCACATTAACCAGGATGGCCTGGATCTCATCTCCTGACCTGCCCACGTCGGCCTACCAGACTACTGGGATTAGAGGGTGAGCCCATCCCGCCCGGCTGGAAAACTCTTTTTAAAAATGGAGCCTTGGGCTGGGCTCAGTGGCTCAGGCGTGTAATCACAGCACTTGGGAAGGACGAGGCGGGTAGAGCCTGAGGTCAGGAGATTGAGACCAGCCTGGCCAAGACGGTGAAACGCCGGCTCTACTAAAAATACAAAAAATTAGCCTGGCGTGGTGGCTCGTCTCTGCACTCCCAGCTCCTTCGGAGGTTGAGGCAGGAGAATCCCTTGACCTGGGTGAGGTGGAGATGCAGTGAGTCGAGATGACACCACTGCACTCCAGCCCGAAGGAGAGTGAGAACCCGTCTGAAACACACACACACACACACACACACACACACACACAACACAATGGCATCTTTATCAGAGCTTAATGTTAATATCTTACTGGACTTTTAAATGTTAAATTTACATTGTTTTCTCTTCAATTTGACTGTATGAAAATATGAGATATTTTTCTGTGTCTAGGTACGTAGCATACCCCAACGGTGTATCTTATTAATACACTGTTTTGTTATTGTTAAGGGAATTTAAGAAAAACCTTAGTGGGCGGGGTGTGTGGTGGTTCCTGCCTCTTAATTTCCAGCATTTTGGGAGGCCAAGGCAGGTGGATCCCTGAGCGCAGCGGTTTGAGACCAGCTTTGGCAACACGGGAAAACGTTGTCTTTACTAAACTACAAAAATTAGCCTGGTGCGGTGGTACCTGCTTGCAGTCCAGCTACTTGGGAGGCTGAGATGGGAGAATTTGCTTGATCCTAGGAGGCTGGAGGCTTCAGTGAGCCAAGATTAGGCCACTGCACTCCAGTGTGGGTGACAGAGACCCTGTCTCAAAAACAAAAAACCAAGGACATTAATATAATACACATTATTTTTAGAAAAGTAGTATCATTCACTCCTGGCCCAGCATGGGCTATAAGCCCATCTTTGTGAACCGATCTGCATTGTGTTAACCCTAATAAGGAAACCCCATACATTTACGTGCTATACCTGCTTGCTGGTGCCCATGAAGAAGCTGACTAACACTGAATAATAAAACCAAGCTCATCTGATTTTGTGGTGGTGGGTTAGCTGTGTTCTTTTGACAGGAGATAGTTATAAGGTGTTCTTTTGAAACCGTTGGTCTGTTTTTGGAAGATTTCTTGAGGGTGGTATTATAGGAGGGAAGGTTGGTGGTTATTTGCAGTAGCTCTGGTTTGAGTCCAGGTTTCTTCCTGTTCAACAGGGAAAGCAATGGTACATTCTGCAAAAACAAACAAACAAACAAAAATAAACCACTTTTAAGTCTTATAGATTATTTCAAACTTTGTCATTGTTGGAACATTATAGAGATTTAACTGGTCGAGACAGTTTTGGATGTTTAGTTAAATCCAAAAGTAGATTTAGATAAGGTTGGATTTTGGGTAATAAAATCAGATAATCGGTTACTAAAGTAGACTTTCTTCTACTTTATAAGTTAATTTATTTTGCTTCTTAATCATAGAGTGGGCTGTTGTTTTAAATTAAAACACTTGATTGGTTTTCCAGAAAATTTTCACCCTCCAACTTCTCATGTGTTTTTATGGTATCTCCACTTTAATCTTTAGACGTTTTTTAAAAGCCTCTTCCTGAGTAGATGATTTAGTATAGCACATAGAACCTTTTGTGATTTTCCCTACCACACCTGTTACGTTGGAGTCATGGCCGCGTGTAATGATCAGTGGTTGATTTCATGTAGCAGTTATCTGAAATAGAGCTTTTAAAACATGATTATTAAGTAACCACTACCAGCTACTGAAATCTATTTGGTTCGCAGCGTATTTTCAAGTAAGCATTTTTTTCCCTTCATCTTGCAAAGTAGTTTCCTGTATAAAATACAGGTTTTAGAAGTTTGTTTTCCAGGACCTATCTTTTAATAGACGTTTTCTAAATAGGCAGCGTCGTGGTGAAGTCATAGGCTTCTAATTTTACGTTTTCTCTTTTAGAAGGACGCTATATACCTCCTCACTTAAGGAACAGAGAAGCATCTAAAGGTATGTATTTAAGGCAAGTTTGTAGATCTAACCTTTAGCAGCTCATCAAAGTCTAGGGAAAAAGAGTAACTTTAGGAAGTCTGTGAACACTTTTTGTCCCCTCCTGTGCCTCTTTTGGACTGTCTTTAGGAACTAGCACTTTCTGTCCTCGGAAAAGTTCCTCAAATGTTGAATGATGGATACTTCTTTGTGTCCTTTGGCAGACTGAGCCCAAAGACTTTGGGTTTTGTGTAGGTTAACTGTGGTACTGTATCTGTTGGTAACATTTATGACGTGGTTTGAATTTGAAAGTAGCGTATTTGTGCGAATGCCTTATGTCCAAGAACTGTCTAGTGGTAAAGTTTCTGCTTGCTACTGTCTTGAAAAGTTGCCACAGTGAAGTGCTGTTTTGTTTTGTTTGTTTTTTCAGACTAGTTAACGGTTGTACGATTATCACTTTGGGCCACATTCAATGAGCTGGTGATAGTGTCTGTTTCAACCCAAACAACTTCATTGGAAAGGTGTTGTATGAAATGCATTAAACACCTAGGGTTGTTTCCTATTAAATTTGTAAGGTAGAAGAATACATTAGAAAAGTTTAATTGGGGTGATGTTTTGAGTGCCGATACACATCGAAAATTTCTAGGAGAAGGAAATGTCAGGAAAACATTTTAAAACCAAAAGGAAAGAAGCTAATGATAAAGGGGTGTGGAGTGGGTAGAGTACTTGCGGTTGACTTCGTTTTTCTTTGTTTATTCTGTACCCTGTTTTTAAGTCTGTATGTGTTTATCAGAAGACCACTTTGCTAACGATTGTTTTCTTTTTTCAGAGTAACTGCAGAGTTTCTTTTATCACAAGCGTGCTAAGTGTTGTATCTGGCTGGAATTGCACCCAAAGTGTCCTAAGTGCCTTAAGGAGAGTTGGCAATATTTTAGTATTTGCGGGGGATGGAAGAGATGTTAACCATCTAACTTCCTTGATGTAGGAAGTACTATTGGTCATTTGTCTAATACTGGATTTTTAAAAGCAGGGGAAAATTAAAAGTTACAACTTTATAAATTTGTAAATTTAAACATTTAACGTTTGGATTAGGGAAGCCCTCCAGCAAGTTTGCGGTTGTGGAGGGAGTTTATCTTGTCATTCCTTGTCAGTTTGTAGACAATGAAGTAGATAATAATGAGGGTTTCTTTAAACTCCAGTATACGTTATTCTCACTGAGGGTATTACGATGACACAATTACATTTGGACTCTTGGTAGGCCAGTAGTGTGTGTATGAGCGTAGCACACAGTGATGTTTATAGCAACTAGTTTTAGTTGTTAATATAACATAGAAAGTCTTGACCATCCCTGAATGCGAGATTGTGTTAAAATAACTTTATGTGAATAGTTTGAGAAACGTTGTTTTTAGGTAGTAGGATGTCATAGTGACTTAAGAACTGGGTTATGATGTTCAAATTTAGAGCTATGTCAATGGGAAAACCTAATTTGCTGTATCTTTACTGTCCCGTGCCTGAAATTTTCAAAGAGTAATTAGAAATTCTCTGTCTTAATAGATCTGACATATTTTTATCTGATTATGTAGATCTCTTCTCTTAGTTCAAAGTTTTCTCTAGGTAACCCACAGTCCCTGAGGTAGTCTTTAGCTGGGCCTTCCCAAAATGTGTATATACATAGCCTTACGTTAAATGTTTAGGTTTAACACCTTTTGCGTTACGTTATTAAGGATTTGTCAAAGATGGATCATAACTAGGAAACTAACAGAAGCATAGCTTACCCTAGCTACAAGTTGGGCTTAAAAATGAGGGAGTTGGAATCCCTCCTAATCAGTCATAGCTTAAAAAAAGATGTCGTAAATAATTGCACTGGAGTAGGTTTACGTTTTGGACACATAACATTTATAATTACAAGGCGAATGAAAACAATCACTATTGTGGTGATAGTATAGTATTAGTATCATAGCTGTGCGACATGCAGGCTACGTTGTTCTCAGGTCATGAGATTACTTTGCCTCATTTAATCATCTCTGGTAGAAGAACACATTAACGCTTGTAAAAATTCTGCTTATGGGACCTGTTGACCTTTGTTCCCACAAGGATAAGATAAAGGAAGACTACATGTGAAGGACTTCATATTTGGGAAGATGGAAATCGTGTAAAAGTCTCATCAGTTTTCAATGTTTGCTTTTTTATTGAAGGACTCTCTGATAAAGACAGTTCAGGTTGGAGTTGCAGCAGAGATAAAGATGCATATAGCAGTTTTGGGTCTCGAGAATCAAGAAGAAGGTCTGGTTGTTTCAGTGATCGTGGAAGGTAAATCCCAGCTTGTGTGTTTATACAGTAGCAGTTTAGGAATCTTAATTTGGCAAGTTCTCATTCTTCATACTTACACTGGTCCTTGAGCATGTCTTTGAGAGACTACTCATGGATTTAAAGCAGAATGATGGTTTATCATTGTTCTGTTAGCACTGAGAGTTCTTTACTAAAAGTAGTTTATTAATTTAGATGAATATACTATTTGACACAATGAAGTCTGTTTCAACTTAAATGATACAGTCTGTGACAGCTTTAAATGCTTTATGTGTGTGTGTGTGTGTGTGTGTGTTTCTTGAGACAGAGTCTTGCTCTGCTGCCCAGGCTGGAGTGCAGTGGCATGATCTGGGCTCGTTGTAGCCTCCACCTCCTGGGTTCAAGTGATTCTCCTGCATCAGCCTCCCAAGTACCTGGGACTACAGGCGCCCACCACCTGGCCGGCTAATTATTCTTTTCTTAGTAGAGATGGGACCGGGTGGGTTGGCTTATGCCTGTAATCACAGCACTTCGGGAGGGCGAGGTGGCAGGATCACAAAGTCAGGGGTTCGAGACCAGCTTGACCAACATGGTGAAACCCCATCTCTACTAAAAATAGAATGATTGGATGGGTATGGCGGAATGTGCCTGTAGTCCCAGCTACTCAGGAGGCTGAGGTAGGAGAGTCACTTGAACCCAGGAGGCAAAGGCTGCTCTGAGTTGAGACGGCACCACTGCACTCCAGCCTGGGTGGCAGAGCAAGACTCCATCTCAAAACAAACAAACAAACAAACCCTAATAATTGAATTTAATCCTGTCTTCTGTTTTTCACAAATAGGAATAAAACTCTAAAAAATGTTCTCTTATCACATGTCTTCTACTTTTTTATATCTAAAAATTTTATATCTAAAAAATTTCATGTGTTATTCCTACTTTCCTACCAGTAAATATATTTAGATGGTACTATCTTCAATGAGGATGTAAAGTATGTACTAGTTATAAGTATCTAAACCTAAGTCTTAGCATGCGAGGTCTAAGCTGTGTAATTTTATAAAAATTTTTATAATTTTCTTAAGAACGAAGACATAGATTACACATAAGCGCTGGTTAATTAGAGGGGCTTATTTCACATGAGATAAACACTGAGTTGCTGACATCGTTTAAGGGTGGTTGTGTTCAGTAAGTCAGCTGATACCCAAGGACATTTCTAGAGAGGTGATAATCCGATATCGGCTAAATCGTGTATTTTGATTGCTCGTGCCATTCAGATTTGATGATCGTGGATGGAGTGAATATGATGGTATTGGCAGTCGTGACAGAACTGGCTTTGGTAGATACGAACGGAGTGGACACAGTCGTTGGTGTGGCAAGTCGGATGAAGATGATTGGTCAAAACCACTTCCACCAAGTGAATGCTTAGAGCGGTAAGTTTTTGAACAACATGTTATACTAAGCCATAAGTTTCATAACAATTAATATACATGCAATAATTGTTTGATTTCAGGGAACTGTTTTCTGGAGGAAACACGGGGATTAACTTTGAGAAATACGATCATGTACCAGTAGAGGCAACCGGCAGTAACTGTCCTCCACATATTGAAAACGTAAGTTTTTGTTTGACTCTTAAAGTTCTTAATGCAAACCCGTTGGATTATGAAACATTAATGTCACTATAAGAATAGTCTCGGAATTGGCCGGGCACAATGGCTGATGCCTGTAATCCCAGCACTTTGGGAGGCTGAGGCAGGCAGATCATGAGGTTAGGAGATAGAGGCCATTTTGGCCCAACGTGGTGAAACCCCGTCTTTACTAAAAACACTCAAATGAGCTGGGCATAGTGCCACGCACCTGTAATCTGAGCTATGCAGGAGGCTGAGGCAGGAGAATCCCTTCAACCAGGCATCGGAGGTTACGGTGAGCCAAGATTGTGCCCCTGCACTCCAGCCTGGCCACAGAGTGAGATTCTGTCTGAAAAAGAAGAAAGACGGCAGGCACGAGTCACCACGCCTGCCTCCAAACGCTTTTTCAATTTTTTAAACCCAGGAGTCCATTTTCTTAAAAAATGCCGCGATTCTTTAACTGAAATCATAGCATCTGTAAACCAAATCACAGACCAGTTTGGTTACTTCCATTACTATGTTAGTGTAAAACAGAAATTGCAAAGATACAGCATTTTATATCTGTCATGTTTACTTCTATATTTACTTGTATTTGATTAACCTGGCTACATTTCCTGACAGTTCAGTGATATGACATGGGAGAAATTATCATGGGGAACATTGAGCTTACTCGCTATACTCGTCCTACTCCAAGTGCAAAAAACATGCCATTCCTATCATTAAGGGAAAAAGAGACTTAATGGCTTGTGCCCAGACAGGTAAGCTTAGTTGATAAAAAGCAAAGTTAAGAATATCTAATTGGGCTTACTTTAAAAGTAGTATGTTCCGAAGGGATGTCTGAGTCCTGTGTTAGCATTTGAGAGAGCTTGGGGATGTGCCTTTTTGTCTGTACCTCTGGATCCTTGGGATGTATCTGGGCATCTTGAGGAAGCGCATGGCAAATTGTCAGCTTGAATACCTTCTTTAAGAAACAGAATTGCATCTTTTCAGTTAACTCCACTGGAGTTAGCAGACTGCAGCCTGATCTGAAACCTAGCACTTGTTTCTTTTTCAACAGCTATATTCAATATAAATACCCATTTGTTATGTCTGTGCTATAGAGGTTAGCCAGAGATTTGGCACAGTTAAAAAGTGTTCTCTTGTAAAGACTGGCCTGCAAGAGCCATTTACTGTTAGCTCTTTACAGAAAGTTTACTGATTCCTGCTTTACCTTCCAACACTATAGAGCCACTACAAAGAAATGTTGCACTGAAAGTTGTTGCCACTTTTCAGACAAATGGTTGTGTTTTGTGCAAATTAAAATGTACTGTTTGAAAATAGAGCACAGAAGTCACTTTACTTCTTAGGTTTGCCATATAAATTTACTGTCGTCCTAGAAAATTGGAAATAGAGTAAGAAAATTTTCCTATCATTCTCGAGAGCAATCGAGAGCACTTTATCAACGATTAATATTCAGAAATGATAAGTCGGTGTTTTGTCTTCAGGTTCTGGAAAACGGCAGCATTTCTTTTGCCCATACTGAGTCAGATGTATACAGATGGTCCAGGAGAAGCTTTGAAGGCTGTGAAGGTAACGTATTGCTGTTAAAATCAGACCATTTTTGTTTTAAAAAGGCTTTGTAAATGCCTGTCGACTTTTCTAACAAGGCCAGCTACACCTTATTTTTATTTTTTCACCCCATCACCCAATGAAATAAGTTTGTAGGTGTAATCTGCACATTATAAAAGGAAACTGGTAAGTTTTTAAAAAGAATTACAGTTTTTGGCCAGAAAGTTTTAAATTATTTTCATTTTTTAGGGAAACGGAAGGTATGGGCACAGCAAGCAATATCCAATTTCCTTGGTTTTAGCCCCAACGAGAGAATTGGCTGTACAGATCTATGAGGAAAGCCAGAAAAGTAAAGTACTCATTTAGCGATGTTGCTCTTCTCATTGATCAAACGATGTTTTTATGGCCACTGACATGTTCTTTGCTTATAGTTTTCATACCGATCTAGAGTTCGTCCTTGTGTAGTCTATGGTGGTGCTAATATTGGTCAGCAGATTGGAGACTTAGAACATGGATGCCACTTGTTAGTAGCCACTCCAGGACGTCTAGTGGATATGATGGAAAGAAGAAAGATTGCATTAGACTTCTGCAAGTACGTCAGTTTTTTACATATGGGATGCACCTATTTTTGTATTAGAAGTTGATTACTTCTGTAGTATTTGTACTAGGGCTGCCTGAGCTTCGATAATTTAATTTTCCACATAGTTTTGAAAATTGCAGTTAACCTTTTTGTTTAAAGAGTAAGTGAAATTTTAATTGAGGCTCTAAGTTTATTTTAACAATCAACATGTGGCTAATTTGGTTGTAATCTTGAGCCATTTTTTCTGTGTGTGTGTGTGTGTGTGTGTGCACCGCACGCGCGAGCGCATGTGTGCATGCATGCGTGTGTGTATCTGTTTGTTGCATATGTATCAAATTGTGGCACTGGAATATTCCCTTATGGAGGGACTACATTAGTGTAATTAGTTACGCAACACACTGAGTAATTAGTGTGTCAGATCTAATGATCCAGGATCAAATGAGGGTTTTTCATAACAGGTACTTAGTGTTGGATGAAGCTGACAGGATGTTGGATATGGGATTTGAACCTCAGATACGTCGCATCGTTGAACAAGATTGCATGCCACCAAAGGGCGTTCGTCACACCATGATGTTTAGTGCTACTTTTCCCAAAAAAATACAGGTATTGTTTGATGTTTTTGTTTTTGATTAGAGCATTTGTGTTTATTATATTTAGATAATTTGTGTACTAAAGTAGGCAATTGAGTATTTTTCTCACTTTTTCAGATGCTTGCTCGTGACTTTTTGGATGAATATATCTTTTTGGCTGTAGGCAGAGTAGGCTCTACCTCCGAGAACATCACACAGAAAGTAGTTTGGGTGGAAGACTTAGATAAACGGTCGTTTCTTCTTGATCTGTTGGGGGCAACAGGTAAAATTATGAATAATATTAATAGTGTCAGTTACATGTAAGGAGAATCTCTTTACATCTCTTCTGTCCCTTCCCCCTGTTTTTTTCTCCTCATTCTAAACATGGTTAGAACAATGTTTACATTAATTGGGTCTGTTTGCATTGCTTCCAAGATTATTCTAGCACAAGGACTAGAAATAACCCAGTTAATATTTAGATTCATTATGAGTAACAAAGCCTTCTGATTTTTCAGGGAGGGATTCACTGATTTTAGTGTTTGTAGTGACCAAAAAGGAAGTGGATTCCCTGGAGGAGTTCTTGTACCATGAAGGATATGCTTGTACTAGTATTCACGGAGACCGATCACAGAGAGCTCGAGAGGAGGCCCTTCGCCAGTTTCGCTCGGGGAAAAGCCCAATACTTGTGGCTACAGCTGTATGTAAAACTTATTATTTTTTAATTAATCATGTTTGTATAGTGCTTTTTTTAAAATAAAAGTTATTTTTCAGGTGGCAGCACGAGGCCTAGACATTTCAAATGTGAGACACGTTATCAATTTTGATTTGCCGAGTGATATTGAAGAATATGTGCATCGTATTGGCCGTACAGGACGTGCAGGAAACCTGGGTAAGAATTTTGTTAGGGAGTTTTATTTATTTTTGTTTTATTATTGTGATGCACCCAGCAAAGATTTGACAAAGGATCTTAAAAATAGAACGTTTATATCTGAGGAAAAATTTTAGATTAATCAGCCAACTAAACTTTTCTTTCCGTCCCTTTGATTTGGTTATACTACAAATCACAATGTCACGTTTTACTTTTGGACTTACAATATTTTACATAGGAATATAGGAATGTAAGAACAGCATGCTGCTTTATGGAAACTTCATGTACTTTTTTTGATCTATGTAGGCCTTGCCACCTCATTCTTTAATGAAAAAATGTGAACATTGCAAAGGATTTGTTGGATCTTCTTGTAGAAGCTAAACAAGAAGTGCCTTCTTGGTTGGAAAGTGTGGCTTACAAACACCACTACAAGGGTGGCAATCGTGGACAATCTAAAAGGTACGCACTGTTGTGAGCCTTCACTCTTGGTATTACTTATTGGGGGCAGTGAGTTTTCAGAGTTAGCTTTTCCCCAAGTAACGGGTGTTAACAGTTATTTTCAACTATAATACATAAACGTTTGGGCAAGGGGTAATTATTAGAAAGGTTGACATGGAATTAGGTGTCAGTTCTTCACTACTGAGTGCTTTAGAAACTCTGTTAGAACACAAGGGACATTAATGGTATGGTTCCCGTTAGAACATAATGGAACTGAACTGAAAACTTAAATTGGGAATTGTGAAGTTGAAGCAGGAATTTGCTGTTTAATCCAACTTTGGACTTACAGTGCCATGCTATATTTTTGCTTACAATAATAGATTCAGCGGAGGATTTGGTGCTAGAGACTGTCGACTGAGTAGTGGCTCCAGCAGTTCTGGCTTCAGTAGTAGTCGTGCAGGCAGCAGCCGCAGTGGTGGAGGTAATGTTAATTTTTCCTTGAGGAAGGGCTTTTTCTTTTTCTTGTGAGTCCTCTTTTTCATACCATAATTCATTGGGGAAATTTAATTTCTGAGGGACACAAACTCTAACACTAGATTTCTTTTATTGGGTTTACGTTAGAGTACTTGAGAAAAAAAAAAGAAAAGGTATTAATGGGTGACTTAATGTTTCTCTCTTTAAACATTTTTCTTGATAGGTGGCTATGGAGGCTTCTACAATAGTGATGGATATGGAGGAAATTATGACTTCCAGGGGTTGACTGGTGGGGCAACTGAATCGGCTTCGCAGCAAAGTCACCATTACAAACAAGCTAATATGGAAACCACATGTAACTTAGCCAGACTGTGTCGTGTAGCCTCAAGAACTTGCAGTATGTTACCAGCAGTGATTGTCCTGAAAATTCAAGGGAGCTCAAAGTCACAAGAAGAAAATGAAAGAAATAAAACAGCAGCCCTAATCAGAAATTGGTTTGAAGACTTAATTGCTGTGATTTGGATTTAACTCTCCCCTCCTGCTTTAGTCCCACCCCAAACTGCATTTATAAGTTCGTGGCTAAGGATCGTTTTGTTTGTTAACATACTGTGACTTTAACTTTAGACAGCTTCCTACTTTGATGTCCTGTTGGATCAGTCATGCTCACGATACCCACTGTTTTGACAAAATAAATTTACTAACCTCGGCCTAAAAGCAAACCGTGGCACACAGGTGTGATACAACCTCAACAGGAATCATCAATTCATCCATGAATATAAACGGGGAAAAAACAAAACAAAACAAAAAATCTTCAGACAGTAGCCTGCATTCAGACAGCTTGATTCTTGCAGACTTGGGGGTTGGGGGATCATCTTAAAGCATTAAAGCATAGTTTTGTTTTGTTTTTTAATGTGGCCAATCTGTACTAAGTTCTGATTTTCTCAGTGTGTCCTGGAGGGGCACTTAGAAACTTACCCTCTTTCAGTAAGCCATTCCAGTGGTGAGGAGGTGGAAGGTATCACCACACCCATTCATATTTTTGAAAGAGCTCTTAAAGTTAACTGAAGTAAATAGAGCAGTTTCTCTTTTAACATCTGAGAAGTTTATTCTAAGCTAGGCAAATGTGGCACTATTATGCAGCCATCAAAAATGATGAGTTCGTGTCCTTTGTTGGGACATGGAGGAAACTGGAGACCATCATTCTCGGCAAACTGACACAAGAACAGAAAATGAAATGCTGCATGTTCTCACCCATAGGCGGGTGTTGAACAATGAGAACACCTGGTCACAGGGAGGGGAGCACTACACACTGGGGTCTGTTTCGGGGAATTGGGGAGGGACGGTGGCGGGGGTGGGGAATTGGGGAGAGATAGCATGGGAAAACATGCCAGATATAGGTGAAGGGGAGGAAGGCAGCAAATCACACTGCCACGTGTGTTCCTATGCAACTATCTTGCATGTTTTTCAAATGTACCTCAAAACCTAAAATGCAATGAAAAATATTTAAAAATTAAAAAAATTATTTTGGAACCACAAGTGTAATCATCATGTCCTCAAAAAACACGCAAAAAAAAAAAGGATAAATTCCTGGACACTTGCATTTTCCCAAGCCTAAACTAGGAAAACGTTGAAACCATGAATAGAGCAATAACGGAGGTTGCAGTGAGCAGAGATTGCGCCATTGCACTCCAGCTTGGGTGACAGAGCAAGACTGTCTCAAAATTTTAAAAACTCACAAACTGTCCCTTCGTCTCAACACCATAACTTTCTCAAAAGACAGATATACCAAGAAGATCCCATGGTTTTATCAACTGGACATTCGACAACAATTTTTCTTTTTTTTGAGTTGGAGTCTCGCTGTGTCTCCCAGGCTGGAGTGCAGTGGCATGATCTCAGCTCACTACAACCTCTTCCTCCTGGGTTCAACTGATTCTTCCAACAGACTCCCCAGTAGCTAAGATTACAGGCACCCACCACCATGCCCAGCTGATTTTTGTATTTTTAATAGAGACAGGGTTTCACCATGTTGGCCGGGCTGGTCTTGAACTCCTGACCTCGCAATCTGCCCATCTTAGCACCTATTCTTGTAACAATCGTGCCTTGATTTAAGAATTCCCATGTGGTCAGCCTTCCTGCCCATCAGAACGATTATAAGATCAGGTAAGCAAGCGCGAGACACCAAGAGGTGGAGTTTCACAAGAACAAAAATAAATAAATAAATAAATAAATAAATAAATAATAAAATAAAAATGCAAAAACTTAGCCGTGGTGGTGTATGCCTGTAATCCCAGCTACTCGGGAGGCTGAGGCAGGACAATCGCTTGTACACAGGAGGCGGAGGTTGCGGTGAGCTGAGATTGCGACATTGCACTCCAGCCTGGGTAACAAGAGCGAAACTTTGTCTCAAAAAAAAAAAAAAAGAATTTTTGTAGAGATGGGGTCTCGCTATGTTGCCCAGGCTGATATTTTCAACTCCTGGCCTCAAGTGCTCCTCCCACCTCAGCCTCCCAAAGAGCTGGGATTCCAGGCGTGAGCCACTGCACCTCATCAAGGCTGGAGTTTTATTACTCAGGTCAGTCTCCCCCAAAATGTGGACACTGGGCTTTTAAAGTGTAATTTGGCCAGTAGGAGACCCTGGAGTAGGGAATGCTGATTGGCTGGTTAGAGATGGAATCAGAGGAGGGAAGGGGGTTCTTCTTGCTGTCTTCTGTTCCCATGTGGGATGGCAGAACTGGCTAAGCCACATTACCAGTCTGGGCAGTGCTGGCTGCTGCATCTGAATGCAGGGTTTACCACATACCTCAACTTCAACCGTGGGTTTTACGATAGTGGTGCTATCCCCCGAAGAGGTTTGGAATCTCGTGGCCTCTGGTTGCATGACCCCTAACCCGTTAGTGTAATCTCTAATCTTGGGTCTAATCTGTTACTCTTTCAAAGGCAGTCTGATCCCCAGGGAGGAAGGGGGTTTGTTTCAGACAAGGGCTGTCATCTTTGTTTCCATGTGACTGGAAATTCCTACTGAGGTATCTCAGTCTGTGTTCAGGAATGAACAAGGGCGGTTCGAAGGCTAAAGGCAAGATTCAGTCAATTAGGTCAGACCTCTCTGTCGTCATTTTCTCACTGTTACAATTTCTGCAAAGGCGGTTTCAATTTAACTTAAAATGTGAGGCAAAAATCAAATTTACTATTTTTACAGAAAGCCCCCGGGAGTTGTTTTTTTAATTATTATTCTTTTATTATTTATTTATTTAGAGACATGTTTTCACTCTGTTGCCCAGGTTGGAGTGCAGCGGTGCAATCACAGCTCACTGCAGCCTCAGACTCCTGGGCTCAAGCAATCCTCTCACCTTAGCCTCCTGAGTAGCTGGGGCTACAGGCATACACCATCATGCCCAGCTAAATTAAACATTGTTTTTTGTAGAGATGGGGTCTTACTGTTGTAACTGCCCAATGGGTTTACCTTGCCCCCTGCCAGAGCTGATTTATCAAGACAGAGGAATTGCAATGGAGAAAGAGTAGTTCATGCACAGCCAGCTGTGCCGGACACAGGAGTTTCATTATTACTCAAATCAGTCTCCCAGGCATTCAGGGAGCAGAGTTTTTAGAGATAATTTGGTAGGTAGGGGCTTGGGAAGTGGGCAGTGCTGACTGGTGGGGTCAGCATATCCATCCAGTGCAGGGGCTGCAAAGTATCTCAAGCACTGGACTTAGGTTTTACAACAGTGATGCTATCCCCAGGAGCAATTTGGAGGGTTCAGACTCTTGGAGCCAGAGGCTGCATGACCCCTAAACCATAATTCATTTCTTTCTTTCTTTCTTTCTTTCTTTCTTTCTTTCTTTCTTTCTTTCTTTCTTTCTTTCTTTCTTTCTTTCTTTCTTTTTTTTTTTTGAGACAGAGTGTCGCTCTGTTGCCCACACTGGAGTGCAGTGACGTAATCTCAGCTCACTACATCCTCCACCTCCTGGGTTCAAACAATTCTCCTGCCTCAGCCTCCCAAGTAACTGGGACTACAGGTGTATGCCATCATGCCCAGCTAATTTTTGTATTTTTATTAGAGACGGGGTTCCACCATACTGGTCAGGCTGGTCTCACGTTCCTGACCTCAGGCAAGCCACACGCCTCGGCCTCGCAAAGTGCTAGATTACAGGCGTGAGTCACCGGGCCCAGCACTAAACCGTGGTTTCCCATGGTGTAGCTAATTTGTTAGTCCTATAAAGGCAGCTAGGTCCCCAGGCAAGGGGCAGGTGTTTTCAGGAAAAGGCTATTGTCAGTTTTGTTTCAGAGTCAAACCATGAACTGAATTTCCTCCTAAAGTTAGTGCGGCCTATGCCCAGCAATGAACAAGGACAGCTTAAGGGTTACAAGCAACATGGAGTCGGTCAGGTCTAACCTCTCTCACTGTCATCACTGCCTCGGTTATGATATTTGCAAAGGTGGTTTCGCCATGTTGCCCAGGCCGGTCTTGAACCGGGCTTCAGCGATCCTCCCAGTTGGCCTCCCTAAGTGCCGAAATTACAGGCCTGCACCACTACATCCGGCCCACCTTGGAGTGTGTCATATGAAGTGAGCTGTCCCCACATCCCTACAGCCTAGGAATGAGCCTTCTGTGGAAATCCTCTGTCTGTGAGGAGCTGTTCAGGACGTGTTCTTTTGTTCTCTGGGATACTCATGAATTAGAAAGAAATCACTCATCAAGCGGTTCTCCTGAGAGTCCTGACCATTTCCTGTTTTCCTGTGAACTTAGTCTCAGGATGTCTGCGCTGTGCCATTTTTGGGGAGACCATTATCTGGGTCCCGAATGGATCAAAGCATACCGGTCAGGGTGCTGCTCTATCCCTGGGGCAAAACTGAAGGGAAATGTCCCTGTGCTCCTTGGCAGGGCCAGCGCCCCATGGAAGCACAGCCAGGTTGGGGGCATGATGCCTGTGCTTCTCTTTCGACCCAGATGCCTGCTCTCCGGCCCCCACAGAGTGAGGCTGTGAGTCAGCGCTGGGATTAGCATTAGCAGGAGGTACCTGCTGGGATGCAGGCCGCCGCCAGGGATGAGTCACCCAGTTGCTCCCGAGACACAGCAAAGTATGCGAGGCCTGTTCCTGCCTCCTCCAGAGCACTGAGGGGTGAGAGCTGACCTTGGCTGGCCTCCCTCCAGAGAGTGGGGAGAACGTTTCACTCGCTGTTTTTAAATGCTAATGGCCAGGTTTCTCTCATACCCGCTGTTTTAGTCCGCTAAGGCCGCCCTAGTAAAGTAGTACTTACGGTCTGGAGTGCTGAAACCAAAGGGGCTTCATCTCCCACCGTCCTGGAGGCTGGAGGTCTGAGATCCAGGTGTGGGCAGGGCTGGCTCCTCCTGAGGCCTCGCTCCTGGGCTTGGAGACACCGTCTTCTCCCCGTGTCCTCACTGGGTCGTCCCTCTGTGTCTGTGTCCTCACCTCCTCTTCTGTTGATATCTCTTAGTCCATTTCAGGCTGCTGTCACAAAACACCATAGACTGCGTGGCTTAGAAACAGCAGACGTTGATTCTCCCACAGTCCTGGAGGCTGGAGGTCTGAGATCCAGGTGTGGGCAGGGCTGGTCCCTCCTGAGGCCTCTCTCCTGGGCTTGGAGACACGGTCTTCTCCCCGTGTCCTCACCGGGCCATCGTGTGTCGGTGTCCTCACCTCGTCTTCTCATAAGGACTATGGTCCTTTGGAGCAGGGCCCACCCTAGTGACCTCCTTCTACTTTAATCACCTCTTTAAATACCTTGTCTTCAAACACAGTCACAGTCCTGATACCCTGGGGGATAGCACTCACTCTGAATTTGGAGGGGGACACAGTTCAGCCCATAGAACCCACCATCCATATAAGTCATTCCACTTCAAAATCAGCACAAAGCATTTTTTTTTTAAATCTCAAATCTGGGGCTGGGCACGGTGGCTCACGCCTGTAATCCCAGCACTTTGGGAGGCCAAGGCAGGTGGATCACGAGGTCAAGAGATCGAGACAATCCTGGTCAACATGGTGAAACCCCGTCTCTACTAAAAATACAAAAAATTAGCTGGGCATGGTGGCGCGTGCCTGTAATCCCAGCTACTCTGGTGGCTGAGGGAGGAGAATTGCATGAACCCAGGAGGCGGAGGTTGCAGTGAGCCAAGATCGCGCCATTGCACTCCAGCCTGTGTAACAAGAGTGAAACTCTGTCTCAAAAAAAAAAAAAGAAATCTCATATCTGTATTTTAAAAATCGCTTTTAACACATTAGAAAAATAAAGAAGAACTTTTTTGTTGTTGTTTTTTTCTGAGACAAACTCTCACTCTAGCCCAGCCCGGAGTGCAGGGACGTGATCATAAATCACTGCAGCCTCCACTTCCTGGGCTCAAGCAATCCTTCTGCCTCAGCCTCCCGAGTAGCTGAGACTACAGGTGCACATCACCACATCCAGCTAATTTTTTTTATTTCTGTTTAGTAGAAACGGGGTCTCTCTCTGTTTCTCAGGCCGGACTCCAACTGAGCTCAAGTGGTCTTACAGCCGTGGCCTCCCAAAGTGGTAGGATTACAGGTGTGAGTCACCACACCCAACCCGGAGAAACTTTTTTTTTTTTTTTGTGGAGTTTCACTCTTGTTGCCCAGGCTGGACTGCCGTGGCACGATCTTGGCTCACTGCAACCTCTGCCTCTCAGGTTCAAGCGATTCTCCTGTCTCAGCCTCCTGAGTAGCTGGGATTACAGGCGCCCACTACCATGCTTGGCTAATTTTTGGTATTTTTAGTAGAGATGGGGTTCCACCACACTGGCCAGGCTGGTCTCGAACTCCTGACCTCAGGTGATCCAACTGCCTCGGCCTCCCAAAATGCTGGGATTATAGGTGTGAGCCACCGCACCCAGTGAGCAACTCTTTTTTTAATGGGCTTTGATTACCATTTGTGGCCTGCGTTTTCACCCTATTGTCGTTTTTTAACAAATTTGCTAGCTTTCTGTCTTTTGAATGTCCAAGAAAACAGATTTGCCCATCTACGTGAGGCCCCCAGACCCTTAGGGGTGCACATCTAATGCAGCTTCCACCACCAGGCTCTTGAACAGTAAACAGGGGCGAGACGACACCTGCGCTCCTCCCCTGGCCCTGGAGAGCCAATAGGAGTGTCTGCAGCCTTTCAAAGCATCTTGCTCAGGTTTGCTGACCCGCTTGCTTCTGTGAGGTCATGTAGACTTCTCGGCCATGTCTTGCATTTCATGGTCTCTTTTCTATGCTGAAGAAAGAGTGAGCTGTAGACTCAACAATCTTTATGGAAATACTGATGGTGAAGGAATGATGTCTTACAGAATGTGGCAAAACTGTCCATTTGTGAATAACGAATACACTGTCTGGGTGCTGATGGGAAGCTGGCGCTTTCATCCAGTGCACAACAGCCAACCGGCCATCCGGGTCCAATGTGCATTTTCCTTTGGCATCCGTGCTGGGGGAGATGCTGTGCATGCCATGAAGACTTAGCTTCTTGAAAGGAACCATGGCCCACTTACAGGTGTTATTGGGTGCATGTATGTGCACGTGTGTGTATGTATGCATGTGTGTTTGCGCACAGGTATGTGTGTGTATTGTGTATGCATGAACGTCCATGTGTGCATGTGGATTTTGTAATCGTGTGCAAATGCATGTGGATAACAAGTGCATGTGTGGAAGTGTCTGTGCACACACACACAGATTGAGTGCCTGCATGCTTGTGTAAGTGGAATTTGCATGTGTGCATATTTGTGCTTGGGTCACCTATGTATTGCATGTATCCCATGTGTGTCCACGTGCATGCATTGAGGGGTGTGCTACCACATGAACACGTGGGTACTGCATGAATATATCATATGCATCTGTGCATGTGGAATGTACGTATACATGCATATGTACAGGTATGCACATACACACGGATGTGTTTATGTGTGTGTGCATGCATGTGTTTGTGTGTTTCTGCATACAGGTGCACATATTGGGATGTGCATATGCACACGTGTACAGGTGTATGTTTAGGTAAATCGTGCTTAATATGTGCTTGTGTTGCCTGTGTGTGTGTGTGCATATGTGTGTTTGTGCATATGTGTGGGTATGTGCATGTGTGTGAATGTGTGCATTGAACACATGTGTGCTATGTTGCATTTGCTTTTATGTGTTGCACGTGGGTAAATGCGTGTGTGTATGCACGTGTACATGTGTGCTTGCCTGCCTTTTGTTGTGCAAGCTTGTTACATGCTACATGGTGTATGCACCTGCACACACATTTGTGCATGTCAGTGTGTGTTGCCTGTGCATGTATGTTTGAATGGCATGTGTGCATGTGCATGTGTGTCAGTGAGCTTGTCCGCCCGTGTGTGTTTCACATAGGCATGTACATAGACTCCCCAACCCTGAAATGAAAGCTGGTCTCCCTCTCCCTGGTATCATCCCCATTCCGCTAATGACTGTTAGACACAACACACACGTTCACCTTCCTCCACCTCATGCTGTTTGGCTGTCCCCCTCCCCCGACAAGACTGTGAATTCCCTGAAAACAGGGATGTGTGTGCTGTGCCGGAGTCGCATTCTCAACAGTGCCCGGCAATAGAAGGCACTGCATAAGCTCTGCTGAATAAACACGAGTGTCCTTTTCCGTTTACAGGTGGAGATCACCACTTGGGGCATGACTCCTCAGAAGGTAACTGATCGACTCACCTGGTCCCAACCTTTTTTTTTTTTTTTTTTTAGAGAAAACTGGGCCAGGTGCTCCGAGAAAGTGAGGATGTCAGTCTCCCCGACCTGTCTCAGAGTACTTTATTTTATATGTTCACAAAGCACATAGCTGAGGGAGGGTGCAGTTACTCAGAACAGCCTGTGGCCGTGATTTTCATACTTCAGTTAACACACTTCAGCTAACAACTATCTTGCAGTGAGGTCAGTGAGAGCTGCTTATCTCTCTCTAGGCTGCTCTGCTCTTCTCCAAGACATACACATTCTCCTGTTATGGTTTTGCTTCTCTGGAGTTCACCCAACGTTCACAGCAGCCTTGCTGCTGACGCCCCCAGATGGGTGGGCTACTCTGGCTCTCTACACCTCCCCCCTAACTTTAAATATAAGCATAACAAAAATTGGCACAACATTAAGCATTACTATTATTAATATGAGGGTGTAGTACATTGAAACAGACGACACAGGAATTTCATGTCCAAGCAGCAGTCAGTGGCAGCTGTCACCTTCACTAGGAAGACAAGCTAGATTTACAGCATTGTGGGGTAACGCTCAAAGCCTCAGGAGGGATTGCCGGCTAGGCACCTCCCCGGTGTTTGCTGGCCTTACTGCGGCTGTGCCTGTCTTAGGTTGTCCTCCCCTGAGGATCTTACCCGTCATTGACTAACCAGCCATCCCTTCAGGTCCAGCATCATAGTCAATATTATCTTTAGAGGCTAATGGCCCTGCAAGTGATATTAGATTAAATGTCACTGAGGAGCACATGCACCCACATTTCTTCAGCTTGAGCCCGCCACCTCTGCTAGGACTGACATTCTGTGTGCCTCTTTTTTGTACAAACACCTCAAATGTTAACTAATGCCTATTTTACTGTCTGTAATTTTAAATGATGCAGTTTAGCTTCTATGTTTTTACTGTCTAGATTTCCTTGAATATGGACTGCTGCATATAACAAAAACAGAATAATTACACAGATAACAAGCATCATGCACTTCCAGAAGGCATGCCTCAGAATTCCAAAAGGATTAAATCCCTCTAATTGACCCAATATTTTTTCTGCTATTTTTGTAGGATCCTCTACATCAAGGTGTGCTTGTTGTATTTCATCAAGTTCCTGATGTAACTTAATTAAGTCACTGGTTAAATTATAACAGCCTTGAGCTCCAAGAAGTTGCTTTTTGACTGTTTCCCAATTCCACTTTGTATAATTCCAAATTACAGGGGCCACACAGATAGTGACATAATTACTGTGACATCTGAGCCTTGTCTTAATCTTATCATCTCCAGCTCATCTCCTGTAGACATAGTGGCTGCCTCAGGAGTGGCCAGTCTGGCCTCTAACCTCCGATCAATTTCCTCCTGAGTGGCCATAAGCTGAGAAACATTTGATGTTAATTGATTGACATAATGGGCTGTTTGAATAGTTTGAGAAAGTGAAATGGCAGCAACTGTAGAACTGGCAATAATTCCTATCAATGCCACAACACTGAAAAATCAATAATCCCAATACACTTCTATGTTGAGACGACATTTTTTCCACGTGTTGCAACATTGCCAAACCCCTGTCCTCACACCACTCTTCTGTCAAATTGACAGGAATCATCACATATACAGGCTGCGTTAACACCAGCAGACTTTGTCCCTTACTATAAGTAGATACACAGGAAGTAAGATTACAATTTATACAAGACACATAAAATTCCCCTGCATATTGAGTTACATTGACCTCCCCTGTTATAATTACATAAGGGCTGGGAACACAAGCCTTTAATCCATAGGTGTCATTTGTGAATATGCTGGAATAATTGACATGGTCCCAACCTTTAAGAAGCACACACACTTTTAAATCAATGCCTCCCAACCCCACGGCTTCTGTGAATCACTCACACTTCCTATGTATGTACAGTAGCCTCTGAACAAAAACGTCTGAGCATCTTTGTTCAGAGGCTACTTGACACACACACACAACCGATCAGAGTTCAAAGGAGGGGCAAGCATTGGTATTCACTGCAGAAGATGCCTCCTCGCTCTCAGAGCAAGACTGTGAGTGCTGAGACTGCTGGATTTCTCCCAGTACTGCCGTTACTCTCCTTTCTTTAACCAGCGCTAACTTGAAACCCAAGCACAACAGGAGAAAGGAAGTTATGAACACTCTGCCCAAAGAAGTCCTCAGAGTGCACCATCAACCCTATGTCAGGTCACAGGAGGGAGAACTGTAAGTGCAGAGGCTGGTTGTATCTGGTGTGGCTGGGAGAACAGGCTCCTCATTTCCTGAGTCTGACTTAGAGAGCTGGACTGACACCTGCTTGAGTTTAAGCTGAGTTGATGGTAAATGAGCTCAATCCAAGGCTCTTGTGAGTTTTCAGTTATGGGGGAGGAGAAAGTGATTGAAGGTGACCTCTACATTTCAATGCAGAGTGCCAGTACCAATGTTTTTGGGGTATGCTGGCATCCTTAGAGAAATTCATTGATTTTCCTTTTTCCCTCTGTGGTGTAAAGCGATGTCCAGAGATGGAAAGGGCAAGGCAAATGAACAAGCGATTGCAGCCAACTCTGACGAATAATGTTCTGGAACATACGGGATCCTGTAGACTGGGTCAGGTGACGGAGGTAGGGCTTCCTGGACAGAACAATATCCAAGCCGAAGCCCAAAATATGGGTGGGAGGTGCCCAGGAGCAGAGCAAGGTGGCAGGGAAGAGAGTGTGCTGGGTAGAGCTGGATTCGCAGGTGGGGACACCAGAAATTGTGTCGCCAGGTGTGGAATGCAACAGGAACCGGGGAAGGATGCAGTGGTGACTGGGGAAGATGGCCAGGTTAGCGGAGGCGGACTCTGCACTTCATAGAACCTTCACAGGAAGGAGTCTGCCCCTGTTGCCGTGTGGGTGAAGAATGGATCTGAGGGGGCGCCCTAAGACCCAGGGAGACCCCCTTTCAGAGCACTTCAGCACTCCCTGGAAATGACAACAGGCTGAAATCAAGCCCAGGTGAGGGAGGAGAAGAGAAGCGGTCAGCTTGGATGACCACTTGGTAATGACAAGTGATTGTCCTTGATTGATTTGTAAGAGATGGCAAAGAGGAAAAGCCATGAATCAGTCAGTTATGCTGTGTTACAAAAGACCCCAAAATGTAGTGGCTAGAAATAACAGCCATTTGTTATGTTTATGATTACGTGAGCCAGCAATTTGGGCTAAAACCCGTCTAGTGCTCCTTCTGTCTCTTCTGAGCTCCCTCTTGTCTGCAGTCAACTGTAGGCATGGCCAGCGCTTTGATGATGTTTCCTGGGTCTTGTTAATGTATCTGGGGTCCTAGGTGGAATGGCTCATCTCAGCTTCATGTGGGTTCTGACATCCCTCCAGGAAGCCAGGCCAGGTTTCATCACATGGGGACCAGGCAGGATACCAACATCACGAAGAGAAGCGTGCCTGGGCTTAGAGCCATCACATCTTCACTCCTGTGGCATTCTGTTGGCTAAAGCCTGGATTCTCAGAATAAAGATGCGGTCCTCCTCTGGATGGGGAACACTGTGAAGTCCTATTGTGCAGTGTGTGCACGCAGGGAGGGGAAGAATACAGGGCTATCTCTCTCAGGAGGCAGGATGCGGCAGGTGGCAGCACCAGCTGTAGAGCAGCTTCTTGCGATCAGTGACAATACTCTTTCCCCCAGCATGGCAGCCTCATTCATGGAGCAGCCTCGTGTCCCTCAGCTGTGTCATGCCACGTAGCAGCCCAGTTGTTCAACCCGGTCTGAAGAAAGGCATGCATGGAAAGGGTGGCTATTTCAAATGGAAACAGTGATTTCTTCCTTTTTTACCCTATGGAAGTGTCGATTTTTGTCACATCAAGGTCGTTCTTGTTCTTTGTGCAGGAGTACCGAAGCTCTGGGATGATTTGCCGTCGAGGCATTGAAGATGCATAGTCTGGTGTGTGGTTGGGTCTAGAGTTCCCGCATGCCTTTGAAAGTGGGCCTATCTGGCGGTTTTTAATTGAACAATATTTTTGCATGAGTAAACATTCTACATCTAAAAGGACACAAAATAGTTTTGACCCATGCCTATCACCCCAGCTACTCAGGAGGTGGAGGCATGAGGATCACTTGAGCCCAGGAGTTCAAGACCAGCTTAGGCAGCATGGTGAGAGCCCATCTCTAAAAAAATAAAGAAATCAGGCCTGTAATCCCAGCACTTTGGGAAGCTGAGGCGGTGAATCACTTGAGATCAGGAGTTCAAGACCAGCCTGGCCAACATGGTGAAATCCTGTCTCTACTAAAAATACAAAAATTAGCCAGGCACGGTGGCACACATCTGCAATCCCAGCTACTCAGGAGGCTAAGGCAAGAGGATTGCTTGAGCTCAGAAGGCAGAGGTTGCAGGGAGCCAAGATTATGCCACTATATTCCAGAATAAGTGACAGACTGGGACTCTGTCTCAAAATAAGAATAACAAATAAATACATCAAATTAATAAAAATGTACACACGAATTCAACAAACAAAAATGCCGAGTGCCTCCTCTGTGCAAATCCTGGCCTTGGATGTCTTCAGTGGTAAAATGTGGTTGACAAGCTTGGCTCTTTGTGAAAACAGAATTACTTTCTAAGATTTTTTTCTCTCTTTTGTTTATTTTTTAAAATTAAGTTTCTCTTGTTTTCTGTGAACACAGGAGTGGGAAGAGATATGATGGAGAAGTTGTTAGATCGATGCAAAAGTGATTGCAATTTTTGCTATTATTTTCAATGGCAAAAACCACAATAACTTTTGCACCAACCTAATATTTAAGCAGTATTCCTGCCTGCCGTGTTTTCTCTCAGATGAGCTTGCATTTTCTCCACTCCTGCAGGCAATATGGTGGCAAAAATCGGGTCTCCCATTGTATCCGTGGTGGTGGTGACACTGCTGGGAGCAGCAGCCAGTTATTTCAGACTCAACAGTAGGAGGAATTGTTTCAGGACCAGTGGTAAGTCTTGCTCTAAACCTTGTTTTCCTTGTTATTAAGCCTGATTTTTAAAGAAAATTACTTTCTTATGTCTGTCACTAGTAAGGTAATTTCTGGTTAAGTTCAAATATATAACTTGACTAATGTGGTTTTTAAACATTTATTTTCAGTTTTCTTGAGATGGAGTTTCACTTTGTTGCCCAGGCTGGAGTGCAGTGGCACAATCTCAGGTCACTGCAACCTCCACTTTCCAGGTTCAAGAGATTCTCCTGCCTCAGCCTCCCAAAGAGCTGGAACTGTAGGCGTGCGTCATCACGCCTGGCTAATTTTTGTAGTTTTAGTAGAGAGGTGGTTTCACCATGTTGGCCAGGCTCTTCTTGAACTCCTGACCTCAAGTGATCTGCCCTCCCCGGCCTCCCAAAGTGCTGGGATCATGAGCATGAGCCACCGTGCTCGGCCGACAATTGGGTTTTCATGGTCATATGTGAGCTGTACCTTCCTCTAAACCTTGTTACAATGACAGTGGCACATTATCTGTCTCATGTAAAATAGGGGGAGAAAAAAAGGAAAGAAAAAGAACCAAAAAAAGGCTGGGAGCAGTGGCTCATGCCTGTAATCCCAGCACTTTGGGAGGCTGAGGTGGGTGGATCTCGAGGTCAAGAGATCGAGACCATCCTGGACAACATAGTGAAACCCTGTCTCTACTAAAAATACAAAAAATTAGCCGGGCACAGTGGTGCGTGCCTGTAATCCCAGCTCCTCGGGAGGCTGAGGCAGGAGAATTGCCTGAACCCAGGAGGTGGAGGTTGAGGTGAGCTGAGATCACGCCATTGCACTCCAGCCTGGGTAACAAGAGCGAAACTCAAACTAAAAAAAAAAAAAAAAAAAAAAAAAAAAAGAGAAGAAAAGTAAAAAGAAAAAGAACCAAAAAAAAAAAGTTTTTAAGCATGACGGTTGATTTAACTAGACAAATACAGTTCCGCTTTGTTTTGTATTCAGTGAAACTTTCATCACAGGTGAGTCAGGAAACATCAGGAAAAATATCTGGGTTGAATGTGAATGTTTTGCACAGACCCCACCCACAAAGAAAAATACAGAACACTAAATTATAAGCCTGTCTGTGGAATTCCGAAGCTGTGCTCAGACCATCAGGGAAACAAAGATCTGCTGTGGCTTCCTGGTTCAATGTTGGCTCCACACTCCTGGGTCTGAAGAAAAACTTCGGACTTGAGAGCACAGAATACCATAGTCAGAGGAGGTAGAGGGAGGCTTTATAGCCAAAAGAGTGACTCAAATCTTAACTGAGGGTCTCTGCAGGTTTGGTTTAAACCTTACGCCACCCACATCAGAATTTGCCTGGAAGTTTGCCCAGGGCCCTGTAACTCTTACCTTCTTTGCGTCCCTGAAGGAAACTGGAGAGGGAACCCCATTCCTAAGATGTTTTCTTCAGAATGTGCGTTTGGCCTCAAAAAATCCTAAAACTTTCCCATGCGCGCCCTCTGCTGGTGAATGGGCAGAACCTTCCCATGAGCTTCCTCTGCTGGTGAATGGGCAGAACCTTCCCATGCGCGCCCTCTGCTGGTGAATGGGCAGGACCTTCCCATGCGCGCCCTCTGCTGGTAAATAGGCAAAACGTTCCCATGCGCGCCCCCTGCTGGTGAACGGGCAGTATCAACCATTGGCTAATGAACCTCCGTTTGGGGTAAGCCTCCGTCTACATTATACACTGTCCTGAAATTTTGAGAGTAAACTGAATTTCTGAAAAACAGCCTTATTTCCCTGGCAACCTGAGAGCAGGTTCTTGGGTTCAGTGGCAGCACTCTTTCACCCGACATGTCAGCCATCATTAACGAGACACCACATGTTAATTTCAGTAGCATCTGTGGCAGTGATTCCTAAGCCTTTGTTAATCAAGGGCTGAAACTGAGTGAGCAGAGCGAGGTACCCACCTCCACAAGCACAAAATGTCCCCACAGGGGCCAGGGTTCATCCACAAACTCAATAATCAAGACAAACATATTTCAGTGCAGTGTTTCAAAAGGAAAATCAAATCTTCAAACAACAGCCTGCAGGCCAGCTGTCTGTTCATGTCAATGAAGCTTTATTGCAATGGGGCCAGTTGAGTTTCTGAAATAGGTGTAGTTTTGAAAATGTGGACCATGCCTGCCCCATTGATCTGAGCTGGAAGCACGTTTTTGCTAAAGAGATGTGATGCCTTGAAGCTCTTTCATGTCTTTTGGCTACCGTTGCACGTCAGTGTTACCTTTACCAAGTATTTCCAGGCACCAAGTTTAACTTCCCCTCGCTTAAAGTTCCTTAAAGGGATCAAAAAGGAGGAGGATGCAGACAGAGTGAGACGATGTTTGGGGAATCTCTTCAAGGTGAGCAGTGACTTTCATGTGGATCCTGGGCCTATATCACCTTGCTAGCTATAAAACCTTTATACTATGTAGGAAATACGTGTATGACAGCACTATGTATGAGTTTGGTACCAAACGGGGCTTAGGGATCTGCAGATTTCACTCTAAGTTTCCAGGCTGCTGCCAATGGTACCTGGCTGCCCATCTTTCCTTAGTTGGGTCATTAATTTTATCTCTCCTAAAGGATGATGTGTATGGTATACTAACCCTATCAGTGGAGAGGCAGTGCAGTGCACAACCTGTGGAACTGTATGCATGCTGAGGCCATACACCAAAGTTTGCACAGTTTCTAGAGAAATAGTTGTAGTAACGGAGCTACATAGATAGCAGCAGATGTCTGTCACTTGATGTGGACCTTTAAGAATCATACTTTGCTTTTATTTTATAAAGCAGAGCAAATAACATAAAGAGCAGTGAGGCCACATTCAAAACAAGAAGTTTCTACAAAGATTAGTTTTAACCAAAGAGAAAGTTATGCAGTTCATTTAAGATCATCAAAATCCTTAACAAGTGGCAAAACATAAAAAGCAATGTTTTGAAAGCTAATATTTGTTTGCAGATATAATTTTAACAGTTTTAAAATACTTTTTATTTTTAATTTTCCAGGTTTGTTAATGTGTAATTGACAGAGAAACATTGTGTATGTTTAAGATGTGCAACTTCATTTCTGCATCATTTATTTCTGTTCTAATCTGTTTTCTTCTGCTGAATCTAAAGCAGGTCTCATGTAGACAGCACATCGTTGACTGCTGGTTTTCTTTTTTTAAAATAGGTGTTTCATTCCTCTCGCTTTCTTAAGGTGTAATAGACAAACCGTGTATGTATTTAAGATGTACAACTTCATATCTGCTTTTTTTTCTTTTTTTGAGACAGAATCTTGCTCTGTGGCCCAGGCTGTAGTGCAGTGTCACAATGTCAAAATCCTGACTCACTGCAACCTCCACCTCCCAAGTTCAAGCAATTCTCTTGCCTCAGCCTCCTGAGTAGCTGGGATTACAGGCATGTGCCACCACACTCAGCTAATTTTTGTGTTTTTAGTAGAGACGGGGTTTCACCATCTTGGCCAGGCTTGTCTCAAACTCCTGACCTCATGATCTACCCACCACGGCCTCCCAAAGTGCTGGGATTACAGGCGTGAGCTATGGTGCCTGGCCCATTTCTGCTTCATTTCTTTCTGTTCTAATCTACTTCCTTCTTCTAAATCTCGAGCAAGTCTTCTGCAACAGCATATAGATGGATCTTGGTTTTCTTTTTCTTTTTTTAAGAGACTTTTTTTGTCCCCATGATGACATTTGTTTCCAATTTTTTTTCAGAACCAGAAAATGTCTGAAGATGTTAAGATCCCCTGATTACTTTGAGAAAAACTCAAGCAAAACAAGAACCCTGTTTATCACTGTTGTAGAAATTTCCTTTTATTCTTGACACAATTTGATGAGCTAAAGTGTGTTTTCTTCTGTGTGAAGTACATGAGCTGCCTCACTCATTGGATGTGATGTGGTTATAAAGATGAGTTAGGCAGCTAGACCCTGCATTGTAAAAAGAAATTGCTTTCTCTGTCAGTTTGTCATTCATTCACACAGAGAGACTGTGGCTCTCTATTCCAAAAACTTCAGGTACTTCATGGTGCAGTAACGCACACATGCTTCACCACGGTGATGTGACACAGCAGGAAGCAGGAGGGAGGCACAGGATCTTGGTGGGTAGGGGATGTTATCAGCTTCTCAGAAGTGAAGAATACTGTTGAGGTTCCAAGGATGCTGGACCTACGCTAAATTCTTCAGTGATGTCCAAAATCATGGGGCATTCGTCACTGCTAATGAAGTGGGTATGAATTATTTCTGACACCCACAAGCAAGGTTTGAACCTCCTTTCAGCTCTGTTGTATCTGAACGTAAAGTTATTATTACTTGAGAAAATAAGGCTGCATTTTGAAATGTTCGGTGCAGAACGACTTATGTTAAAACCATCTGGGGGAAATCCTGGGATACTTTTTCCCAGGAAATCATATAGTTTTGCTGTGTTTCGGCACATAGGAGACAGAAATGGCGATTATCAGAAGTATTTTCAGTCTTTGAAATTCTGTAAGTACTGGTTCCTAGGACAACAACATTGTTTTCCTTGCTTTAAACTTTTTCAGTTCACCAGAGTAGGAAGTCTTAAATCCCCAGACGTCCAGGAAGATGCCAGCTATTTGCTTCTCTTTTAGAAACACTTGTGGGCAGAGGGAAAAGGGTGGTTTGGGCCTATTTGCACAGATTGATTAAACTACAGTTAATGTTCATAAAACATTTAGATCTTGCCCTAAATATCAGAACCAAAGATTTAGATGTTCATGTACACTCTGGAATGTACATACAGGACCCATCAAAATTTCCAGTATTCATGCTTTGTGCTCCCCATTATGAATTGGGGTCTTCAAAGAGGGAAGGGTGAAAGTGGAAGCCACTTGAAAGAGCTCCCCAATTTGTAAAATACCTTCAACTAAGAATTCACATTAGGTAACTCAGAGTTGTGTGTCAAATTGTGGATTCATGCATAACGCGTGCAATTTGAAGACAGCCCGTATTTCCTATCTCAGTATTCGGTCCTGCAACACTTTTTAATTGTCGTAGAAGTTCTCTTGTAGAAATGGTGAGGTCTGATGCTTCATTACTATTTTCTCTATAAGAATTTCAACATGAGCTTAATTAAATTCTTGTGAAAAAGTCTTCGTGTTTTTAGTTACACACACACACACACCTACTTAAATGGAATGTAAACATTTTTAGCCTTTAATCCATTCCATTTTCTAAACTGTCATAAACCATTTTTAATCATTTTAAATAAAGGTAAGAGAAAAAATACTGGATTTGATTGTTGCATAGTTTTTTCTGTATTTCGTAAATAATTTTATGGAACAGCTGTAGAAGTGGCCCCAAAGTTATGAACCTTCATAGCTGTGGATAATATGCAACAAATCTCTCTTTTTTTTTTTTGAGATGGAGTTTCGCTGTTGTTACCCACACTGGAGTGCAATGGCAGGATCTTAGCTCACCTTCAACCTTCCGCCTTATGGTTCAAACAATTCTCCCGCCTCAGCCTCCTCAGCTAATTTTTGTATTTTTAGTAGAGATGGGGTTTCACCTTGTTGACCAGGATGGTCTTGATCTCTTGACCTCATGATCCACCCGCCTCAGCCTCCCAAAGTGCTGGGATTATAGGCGTGAGCCACTGCGCCCAGCCGCAACAAATCTCTTAAAGCTCCAGATAGATGATGAACCTATGGAATACACAGCATTACCTAATAATGAGATAAAACTCACCTGGGTGACAAAGATAATGGTCAACCCACTTAAAATGAAAACGTTTGAATACTGATTGCTTGGGGTCCTGAGGACCACCTTTAGGGTATTCTTTTCATGCTGAGAAGGTGATAATTGAAGAGATGAGAAAAGCCTTGATAAAATGCCATGTCCTTGATTGCACAGTTGATCCCTGAACAACACAGGGCCGAACTGCACAGTCCACCTGTATGTGAATTTTCTTGTGGCTCTGCCATTGCTGAGGCAGCAGGACCAACCCTCAGTCTCCTCAATGTGAAGATGATAAGGAGGAAGACCTTTGTGGTGATCCACTTCCACTTCATAAATAATACATTCATTCATCGTACCGTTTTTATGGTTTTCTTCATAACATTTTATATCCTAATTAGTCATGGCTTCTCTTCATTCCAACACGAAGATATTTATCCATTTGACATAAGATGCAGTTGAGTCCCCACAAAGAGGAAGCAGGTGTGGCTTTTGAAACTGTTGAAATCCCATGTATAACTTTTTTTTATTTTCTATTTTATTTATTTATTTATTTTGAGACAGAGTTTCGCTCTTGTTACCCAGGCTGGAGTGCAATGGCGCGATCTCGGGTCACCGCAACCTCTCCGTTCTGGGTTCAGGCAATTCTCCTGCCTCAGCCTCCTCAGCCTCCTGAGTAGCTGGGATTACAGGCAAGCGCCACCATGCCCAGCTAATTTTTTTGTATTTTTAGTACAGACGGGGTTTCACCATGTTGACCAAGATGGTCTCGATCTCTTGACCTCGTGATCCACCCACCTCGGCCTCCCAAAGTGCTGGGATTACAGGCGTGAGCCACTGCAGCTGGCCATGTATAACTTTTGACTCTCCAAGAACTGTCATCTTATTGCAATAAAATAAGCTAGAGGAAAGAAAATGTTTTTAATGTTTTCTACACAGACTTAAAAATAACAACTTTTTTTTGCCCAAGTATAAACCACTATATGAAATTGTTCTAGTTGTAGGAAAGAGGAAAGTTTGATTCTGCTGATTCACCTTTGACTACTGGAATTGGAATATCCAGTTACACACACACACACACACACACACACACACACACACACACAGTATTAACACACTGATATGAGTTGAATTATGTTTCCTCAGATTCATATGTTGAAGTCCTAACACCTGGCACCTCAGACTGTGTCTTTATTGAAAATAAGGCTGTTGCAGAGGTAATTACTTTATTGAAATGAGGTCATACTGGAGTAAGGTGGGTCCCTAACCCCATATGCCTGGTGTCTTTATAAGAACGTGGGATTTGGATACAGGCAGTCACATAAGAAGAATGCTGTGGGAAGATTGGAGTGATATTACCACAAACCAAAGAACTACCCAAAGGAAGCAGAGGACCCTGGAACAGATCCTTTCCTAGAGCCTTCAGAGGAAACATAGCCCTGCAGACACCCTGGCTTTGGACTTCTGGCCCCAGAACTGTGCAAGAATAAACAAATTGTTTAGGCCACTCAGTTTGCAATACTTTGCTATAGCAACCCCAGGGAATGAATACATACATTAACACATGATTTCTACATGTTTTTATTTTTCCCCTAATTAAGGAAAATGATGGGGGTATTCATTTAGGTTGCCTATAGAGGTAGTAGGCAAGATTAGTCAGGGTTAAATTTTGGACTCCGAGACTCAATTTATAGATTCACAACCTGGTTTCTCAATTTCTAGCTGTGCTTACTTACACAAGTTATACAACCTCTCTGGGCTATGGTTATCCCATTTGGGAGAAAAACAAGGGAGGTATCCTAAGAGGATCTTCCTCTCCAAGCTGTGTTGAGGATATAAGACAATGTGTGAAGGTTGGGTGTGGTGTAATCCCAGCACTTTGGGAGGCCAAGATGGGTGGATCACCTGAGGTCAAGAGTTTGAGACCAGCCTGGCCAACATGGTGAAACCCCATCTCTACCAAAAATACAAAAAATTACTCAGGCATGGTGGTGCACTCGTGTAATTCCAGCTACTCGGGAGGCTAAGGCACAAGAATCACTTGAAAACAAGAGGTCAAGGTTGCAATAAGTGGAGATCACACCACTGTACTCCAGCCTGGGCGACAGAGTGAGACTCTATCTCAAAGAAAAAATGAACAAACAAACAAAAAGACCAAACATTTCATGTTCTCTCTTATAAGTGAGAGCTGAACAATGAGAACACATGGACACAGGGAGGGGAACAACACCCACTGGAATCTGTGGAGGTATTGGATGGGGAGAGAGAGCATCAGGAAAAATAGCTAATGCATGCTGGGCTTAATACCTAGGTGGGGGGTTGATAGATGCAGCAAACCACCATGGCACATGTTTACCTATGTAACCTGCACATCCTGCGCATGTACCCTGGAACTTAAAAATAAAAGAATTAGTTCAGAAGTCAAGACTGCTCAACCTAACCAAAAACACAGAGTCTTAGAGAATGCACATGTTGTCCACCCAAATCCCTTCTATCTGTCTTGATAGTTTCAGTAGTGCTGTATTTCTTGTGTATGGAGCTGTGGTCATGGTTCCCCAGCTGAACTACATTTCCCAGCATCGCTTGTGGCTAAGTGAAGTCACGTGACTGCACTCTGGCAAACGGTGGGTCACCTCTATTTCTGAAGCTGAAAGATACTTTCATTATTTCACAAACAGTTGTCTTCTAGCATGAGGAACACCATGGTGAGTCAGTCTTGCATTTGGGGAGAAATTGCTGTCATGACTCAGTAGATCTAATGGAGTAATCTTTTCCCTGTGTTTCTTGAATGCAAAAAAAAAAAAAATCTGAGGAATAATTTAAATTTACATTTTTCTTAGGATTTCAGTTATCCAGAGAATTCCTGGGACCCCTGTGAGAACTTTTACACATCCCCCATCCATGCTTTACTTGAACACCAAGAACATGAAGATACCTTTCGAAAATTTAATTTCCCCCTCAATATTTTTTTCTGTTACATACATTTTCTTAAGTTAACCAAGTCCCCAAGTTTTCTCATTAAGTCTTCAAACAACATGAGCTTTGTCCTCTTAGGATAATTGCTAAGAATAATAGTTCTTTCCAGTGTTTTTCGCTGGAAGAATTTTTGCTTGAATTCCATAGGCATTCAGTTCCCTGAATGCATAGATGATCTTTTGAGTTGCTTGGGATAGATTCCCCTCCTTCGTTCCAGGATAAATTCACCTTAAATATTTGCTGATCTTTCATCATATTGATGGGAGGAGTACAACTTACTAAGAGTTTATGTTTCTGTAGACATTTTCCAATTTGACTTTCCAGGTGTGTGTTTTCCAACTTGTTCATTTTGGAGACTTTTCATATAATCTGTATGTGCAACTGCTATTTTATCCACTTTCAGATAATTATATGTAGATTTGGTTGCTTTTTCTTCCAGAGACTTTAAAGACTCATTTATCTTAACACATAAATTAGTTTCACCAACATTCCTTCTGATTTCTAGCAAGTCTCCACCTTCTAATGCGTTTAGCTTTACTGGCAAGAGCTCACGATCCACCTCATCATCTCCAAGAATGGCAGCCTTATCTCTGTCTTCAGCAAGTGTTTTCTAACATTGTTTGTGTGTGTTCATTAAATTCACTCAGTCTTTTTTTGCATCCATTGGCTTCCCGGGAAATAAGGTTTATACAGCTATGAAAATGGAAATTTTCATTCACACCATCTTTTATTGCCATCTTAAGTGAGACTTAAATCTCATAGGTGCCAGGTGCGGTGGCTCAAGCCTGTAATCCCAGCACTTTGGGAGGCCAAGGCGGGTGGATTATGAGGTCAAGAGATCCAGACCATCCTGGTCAACATGGTGAAACCCCGTCTCTACTAAAAATACAAAAAGTTAGCTGGGCGTGGTGGTGCTTGCCTGTAATCCCAGCTACTCAGGAGGCTGAGGCAGGAGAATTGCCTGAACCCAGGAGGCGGAGGTTGCGGTGAGCCGAGATCGCGCCATTGCACTCCAGCCTGGGTAACGAGAGTGAAACTCCATCTCCAAAAAAAAAAAAAAAAAAGAAAGAAAGAAAAGAAAATCTCATAGGTATTTCCATTTTACTCATTGACGTATGTCATGTTTAAGTGTATTGTGATGGGGCCAGTGGATTTCAAATACCATCAAACTTTTTCCTTTCGAGTATTTTGAAACAATAACATTTGTTTTCCTGCATGCACAGATATGGTCCTGTTCATTATAACAGTTCTTTAGAATTCAAATTCTAAAACCATCTGTAGCAAACCATGTAATTCTTTCAACAAAAGCAAATTCTTGCTGTGAATTCATCAGTGTTTTTCAGTACATGCTATTTTCATGCAGCCATTTTGTTTTCAATTGAGTTCATTTAGATGGTCAGAAATGTCAGTTAATCAAGTCATTTGAAGGTAATAACTCACCTTCAAAAATTAGTGGCTTGCGTATAGTTTTCCAAAAAATTAGGCTGGGTGTAGTGGCTCACACCTGTAATCTCACCACTTTGGGATTGCTTAAGCCTAGGAGTTCAAGACCATCCTGGGCAACATACTGAGACCCTATCTCTAGTAAAGATT